ATTTTCAATAATATTATTAAATTGTGCACGAGAAACTTGTGTGTATAGGATATGTTCCCAGCTTGACATGTCAACTTTCACGTGGTTTGCATTTGTTTCCATCGGAGATTCGGAGTTCATCTCTACTTTCAAAAAACCGTTCAAAATTTTTAGACTAAACTAGAAAGGTAGTCCCTACAAATACGCAGGCATACAACATAGGCCATGTACTTAAGAAACTTATAAAGGTTTAGATATTTTTTTCTCAGTCTATTTGTTAGCTCTATGCAGTATATTATTTAGTAAATTTCAAGAAACAATTAATTATCTAAAATCTGTGTCATCATATAAAAAGAAGATAGACTAGTAGGATATGTACGTCGGAAAAAAAAATTGTATGGCACACCTATTGAGATTCTGTCACCTGGCGTGCACAAATCTTGGAGCACTTCTACCTTCAAAACCGCATGAAACTAATTAACTGGCTATCGCTAATCTCGCGCGCGGAAGGATTCCGGCGGTCGCGTGCACGTACAGTGCACACAAATTTGTATGCATTCCGTATCTACTGAGCACAACAAAGTACATCAATCAAAATTACTCACACACTGAGGGTGTGCTTAGTTCACACCAAAATTAAAAGTTTGATTGAAATTGGAACGATGTGATAGAAAAGTTAAAAGTTTATGTGTGTAGAAAAATTTCGATATGATGGAAAAGTTAAAAGTTTGAAGAAAAAGTTGAGAACTAAACCAGGCCTGAATCATTTTCTTCATTCATGCAATCTTCAAGATTCTCATCATCTGAACTGAACCGATGATGTGCATGGCTTGGGTCTTTCATGGCATCGTCAGCGAAGTTTGACCTCGAGTTATGACCGATCAGCCCACGCACCTCTGCCGCGCGATCAATCTGGGCAGCGCTAGCTCCGTCGATTTCCGCCGTGTTGCTGCGTGCGTCCGCGTCGCCGTTGCCGGCGGCGGCCGCCCTTTCTTGCACGCACGTCATCGTGTCGTCACCGCCGCCGTCCGTTTCCTGCACGTGCATCGCCGTCACGCGCATCGCCGCCGCCATCCTTCCGCGCGCGCGAGATTAGTGATAGTCTGTTAATTAGTTTTTGCCCTAGTATGGTTTTGAAGGTAGATCAGTGCTTCAAGATTTGTGCACGCTAGGTGACAAGATCTTGATAGAGGTGCCATGCATGCTTTGTGGCATGGGGTGCCATACAATTTTTTCCCATGTACGTCTTCACCGTCCTTACTAATCCACATATACGGATTTACTACTGTTGCTAATAAATATATTTTATTTGTATAATCAAACTAGTTTCCTTCAAATTGGTTTACATTGACGCGGTTTGTCGTATACTTTCATACCAATCAGTAAAGATGGAGGAGATATACATATTCTAGACCTCATTTTGTATGATATATGTGATCTATAATGTTTTTTTAAAAAAAAACCGTAGTCAACATGAGCCTTAGATATCTATTCCTCATCAATTTATTCGTTTTTAATCTCAGTAGTTGTTAGGTGAGATCATGTGCCCGCATTGTTCATCGATCATTGTGTTTGTGTGGTTTGTTTTACCAGGATGTGGTTATATTAGGCCGTGGTTTACGGGTGATCGAGCTTTGTATGGCAGGCCAGATGATCGTCGCTGACTGTTCTTACGCTTCGCAAATTAAGCTGTAGGACACTGTTTGCATGCACTTTGCAAAGCTGTAGGGCAGTTGATGTATAGAGTGGCATGTTTCACTGGAAGGACGAGTCTTTGGATTTGCATATAGGCAACGTACAGCTAGCTACTATTCCCCATCCCATAATATAAAGTATTTTAGATGGATGTCACACATTCTAATACAATAAATTTAGACGTACCGTATATTTAGATTCATTGTACTAAGATGTGTTACATTTATCCAAAATCTCTTATATTATAGAAACGGAGAGAGTGATAGTATCCCGGAGTCTCTTCCGTGCCTCGATCGGGCGCCTTCTCCAGGCCTCCATCGCAGCCGTGCACAGCCAACCGATCTGTAGCTGGGTTTAGTTGGGCGTTCTATTCTTAGGATCAATCTAATCTAACGATTTATAATTTGAGAACAATGCAAGCAACTAATGTGATTGCTTAGAAAGATTTTTATGCTTATTAGCAATTCCTTTGTTCCGAACATCACTTTTTTATGATTTTCAATCATCTATTTTACACAAACAATCTTATCCCATTTATATGTATTTTTTGTTCCTACTTTTTTTTCCAATTCTACCTTTCGAATGAGCCCTAAGTGAAAATTAACGGTTGAATTTTTTTTTCTTAAAATTCTTAAGATTTTCTCTAATTTATTAGCATAATGTGATGATTTAAGAGCATTCCTGAAAATGTTTGATGGACTTTTAATATATAATAGATTGTATGCCCAATTAGATTGATACATGACAGTGCAAAACCAGATGAAATTACAAGCAACAGCTAAAAAATAAAGAGATGTAATTGATAGCACAATAGTAAAGGACGTATGGTTTCAACCCCAATGTATCGTTTTTAATCTCTAACAAATTTATAATTTCTTTTTAAAAATATTTAAAGGACATCTCTTCCACCATATCTAGTTGTAGCCACATAAACAAATAGAGACAACACAACCAATATATAGTACAGAAAGTTTCTGCGTTTGCGCACCGTCTGATCAATCACTTCCTGCTCAATCTTCTTTTCGTCTTTACTCCTAACCCCTCCGACTCCAGTCTCACCTCAGGCTCTTACCATATTCCTCATCGTTACAAGAATTGTTCTGAACTACTGTAGAGAATCATCCGAAGAATCAGGTAGATGCAGATCGAGACGTACGGGACGTGTGCAGGTTGGAGGCATCGCACGCTACCGCGGCGGATATGATGCGACGCGTGCATCTACTCCCTCCGTCAAAAAAAAAAAAAAGACAAACCCTGGTTTCCGTGTCCAACTTTTAACCGTTCGTCTTATTTGAAAAATTATGAAAAAAATTAAAAAGACAAGTCACGCATAAAATATTAATCGTGTTTTATCATCTAACAACAATAAAAATACGAATTATAAAAAAAATTATATAAGACGGACAATCAAAGTTGGACACGAAAACACCTAGGGTTTGTTTTTTTTTTTTTTTAAAGAGGGGGAGTACATGCGACGCATTGGGCAGTTTACGGCTAGATCGATGCATCGATCGACAGCCACCCGACCAGCAACCGGCCGGCCGGCGACGCGAGGACGTGTGGACGGCGACCTGGCGGCCGGCCGGTTTTGGCTGTACGCGCGTGCGTTGCTACTCTATGCTACAGGAAGGATCTTGTCCTCCGTCGAGATTAACAATGACTAAGTTTGTACTACTCCTTAATTAGGGACCTGCCCTGCCGGCTATATATATACGTAGTTTAAGATGGCAGGTAAGGAACGAGAGGGGTGTGTGGAATGAAAAACTATATCTCCCACTAAAGAAAATTAATATTTTGTTTTTTTTATTTTAGGATAAAATGGTAATGTAATAAGTTGGTAGTGCAAATATAGTACAGCCTTATATTTGTAATAATTAATTTTGAGTTCAAAAAAAAGAGCCTAATTAAACTATTTTCAACTTCATTCTTTATTTAATATGAATTCTCAATAAAATCTATATCGAAATACTACATCCGTATTTTAATGTATGACAACATTGACTTTTTATGTAACGTTTGACCATTCGTCTTATTCAAAAAAAAAATATGTAATTATTATTTATTTTAATGTGACTTGATTTATCATCAAATGTTCTTTAAGCATGATTTAAATATTTTTATATTCGTACAAAAATTTTGAATAAAACGAATGGTCAAACGTTAGTCGAAAAGTCAACGGCGTCATACATTAAAATATGGAGAGAGTAACATGTTTCGCCTAATAGATGATCAGAATTTAGTTAATTAGTACTCTCTCCATTTTAGGTTATAAGATGTTTTGGCTTTGGTCAAAGTCAAACTACTTCAAGTTTTACTCATTTTATAGACAAATATAGTAATATTTACATTACCAAATTAGTTTTATTAAATTAATAATTAAATATAGTTTTATAATAAATTTATCTTGGGTCGAAAAATATTACTATTTTTTTCTATAAAATTGGTTAAACTTGAAACATTTTGACTTTAAAACATCTTATAATCTGAAATAGAGGGAGTAGTAGTTATAGGCTCATGCATTTCAACGATTTTTTATTAAATTTACCGAGAGAATTTAGACTTAGTGGGGTTATTTAGCTTTTTTTTTAAGAAGTCTGCTTTTTAGATGGATGGTTTTTATGGTAGTAGGTTTTTACGTAGAGGTGGAGGTGGAGGTGGAGAAGGATGATTTAAGTAGTAGAGATATAGCAACTCCCTCATACTTAAAGTAAAGATCATTAGAATGTGTTCGGGAGGAGAGGGGACATCTCCTCTCCAACACGTAAAATGAAGCACGTATTAGCATATAATTGATTAACTATTAGAAAAGGATTTAGAATGGATTCTTATAATTTTTAAAACAATTTTACTATAGAAATTTTTATTTAGTAGTTTGGAAAGAATGTGCGTGAAAAAGAAGAGAGGTGAAGTTGAGAAAATAGACTTAAGAACAATTTGTTTTAACTAACGATGAAATCTTTTTTTAATGTAGAAGCTCTCTCGAAGTCCCTAGTTAGTACACAACGATTCTTGGTAGTATCATAATAATAAGATCCGCTCAATTAATAGTGAGATTTTTTTAGTTAATGTAAAGAACTCTTTTATAGTGTCTAATTAATTTAGTGTAAATGTATTCTCAATCTGTATCATAACAATGTGATCTGCTAAATTAATGGTCAGATTTTTTCCAAGTTAGTGTAGAAGCTTCCTCAGAGTGCTATGAATATAGATGTTAGATATAAGGTAATTAAGATATGAATAGAAATACCATATCTCTATCTATGGTATAGATATAAATACATACAGCTGTATACATACGCAGGTAGTGTATAAATATACTGCTTTGGCTGCGTATAGTCAGCGAAGCAAAGCGAAGAGATGGAAGAACCAACCAGCTGCTACGGTTACTACCACTACCTCGCCCTCGCCGTGGCCGTGCTGGTGCTCGTCCGGGTCACGAGGACGCGCGGCGGCGGCAGCGATGGCGTCAGGCTGCCGCCGGGGCCGTGGCGGCTGCCGGTGATCGGCAGCCTGCACCACCTCGCCGGGAAGCCGCTGGTGCACCGCGCGCTGGCGGACCTCGCGCGGCGGATGGACGCGCCGCTCATGTACCTCCGGCTCGGCGAGGTCCCCGTGGTGGTGGCCACGTCGCCGGGCGCCGCGCGCGAGGTGATGCGGACGCACGACGTCGCGTTCGCGACGCGGCCGGTGAGCCCCACCGTGAGGATCATGACGGCCGACGGGGAGGGCCTCGTGTTCGCGCCCTACGGCGCGCTGTGGCGACAGCTCCGCCGCATCGCCATCCTGGAGCTCCTCTCCGCGCGCCGCGTCCAGTCGTTCCGCCGCGTCAGGGAGGAGGAGGCCGCGCGCCTCGCCGCCGCCGTCGCGGCGGCGGCGCCCCACGGCGAGGCGGCCGTCAACGTCAGCGAGCGGATCGCCGTGCTCATCGCCGACTCGGCGGTGCGCGCCATGATCGGGGACAGGTTCAAGAAGCGGGACGAGTTCTTGGAGGCCCTCGCCGAGGGGCTCAAGCTCGTCTCCGGGTTCAGCCTCGCCGACCTGTTCCCGTCGTCGTGGCTCGCCAGCTTCGTCACCGGCGCGGCGCGGCGGGCGCAGGAGAACCACCGCAAGAACTTCGAGCTCATGGACCGCGCCATCGAGCAGCACCAGGAGCGGCGCGCGGCGGCAGCGGCGGCGAGCGGCGACGTCGTGGAAGACGACGATCTGGTGGACGTCCTCTTGAGGATTCAGAAGGGAGGTGGCCTCGACGTGCCTCTCACCATGGGGATCATCAAAGCAGTAATCCTTGTAAGCAAGCACAACATCATTTCCAAATTCCAACCAAATGTTTTTTTCTAATTTTCTTTCCAAATCCTTTTCGTACGTTCTAATTCATTTAATTTCTGGCATGTTCAATTTAAGTTAATAATTTTGAAATTTCATAGGACCTTTTTAGCGCCGGAAGTGAGACATCAGCGACTACAATCCAATGGGCCATGTCGGAGCTCATGAGGAACCCAAGAGTGATGAAGAGAGCGCAAGCTGAGTTACGCGACAATCTCCAAGGGAAGCCAAAGGTGACCGAGGAAGACTTGACCGACCTAAATTACCTAAAGCTCATTATCAAAGAGACGCTGAGGTTGCATCTGCCAGCGCCTTTGCTCCTTCCTAGGGAGTCGAGGGAGTCATGCAAGATCTTTGGATATGATGTGCCAAAAGGTACCACTGTGCTTGTTAACGCTTGGGCAATTGGTAGAGATCCTAAGTATTGGGATGACCCCGAAGAGTTCAAGCCTGAGCGATTTGAGGATAGCAAGATTGACTTTAAGGGTTTGGACTTTGAGTTCTTGCCATTTGGGTCTGGACGGAGAATGTGTCCTGGTATAATGTTCGCGCAGCCGAACATAGAACTCGCGCTCGCCACCCTTCTCTACCACTTCGATTGGAGCCTCCCTGCTGGGGTGAAGCCAAGTGAGCTAGATATGACCGAGGAGATGGGCATCACTGTTAGGAGGAAGAATGACCTATACCTACATGCCGTCGTTCGTGTGCCACTCCATGCGACGACACCCTAGTATGTAGTTGTTTTTTCGCACACAAATATGTTATGGAACATTGAGATAAAGGAATATTGTTCCTTCCATTATCTAAGAAAAACATGTTCGCAGATGAATCTTTGATTGATAATTTGAGATAAATTATGCTCCTACTATATAGTTCACATTGTGATATACTACGGGCCTGTTTGGCACAGCTCCAGCTCCAGCTCCACCTCTCCTGGAGCTGGAGCTCAGCCAAACAGTTTCAGCTCCACTAAAATTGGGAGTAGAGTTAGGTGGAGCTCTCTCACAAAATGTACTAGAGTTGTGGAGCTGGGTTTAGGCAGCTCCACAACTCCACTCCAGACTCAACTCCTAGAGTTAAATTTAGGGGTTGGAGCTGTACCAATCAGGCCCTACTTGTACAACTTCATATGATCTTTGGGGAAACACTACTGAGACAACTAGCCATCTACTACCGTCGTAAAATATAGCTATTTAGGATGGGATTTGACTCATCTTAGAATATAGAATTTGAAGAGACCTCTGCTCAGATTCGTTATTATAGGATGAGTCAAATTTCATTCTAAATAGCAATATTTTAATATTTTAGAACGAGAACGCGGTAGCATCCCAGTATGATGCAGCATGTAACCGAAAATGCTGCCATTGATGACAAAGACAACCTGGAAGATTACTGTTGCACTTTGTAACTGAACTACCGAAGCTGATGGCAGCGGTAGTAGAATTCTTGAATTGTCTGTTCATGATGCCCTGCAAGCTAATGCATTCAGTTGGAGTGATTAAAGTAGGCAATAATACCATGAGTAATGTCATTATTTGTATCGGACAAAAAAAATGTACTACCTCTGTTCTAAAATCTATACATAATATAACTAAAATATAAAGATAGAATCGAATAGAAACAAATCTGAGCACGTCTGTTCAAATTTATCGTATTAGGACGTGTCTAATATAATAATTATAATAATGTATCTTATGTTTTGGGACGGATAAAGTAAATTACTTGATCAGCACACTCTGGTGACATGACAGCTGTAAAGTTGACTACTGAATTCAGTGGAAAGACCGTGAGCATTATTGTTCACGGCTGAACACAAATCTGTGGGCCACATCGTGACCTTCTCCGGGGCCCACAGAACGCAACCGGGCCCTTCTTTGGGCCCAAGGAAAAATGGGCTGCTCTTTTGGGCCCACGTGGGCCATTTTGCCTCCGTTTTGGGCCGGCCGTGAAATGGCTAGAGCTGAAATTGCAGGTGTTGATGACGATCGAAAGCTGGATGCTAATTCAAAAAAAAAGAAAAGAAAAAGAAAAGCTTGGATGCTGCACTTGTAACTGAAGCTGGTGACAGCAATAGTACAACCTTGAATTGTCTCTTCTGATCTGCTGATGCATTTCTAGATAATGCATATCCAGCAGATTTGGGTGATTAATCCAAGTAATGATCTCACTCCACTGATAGTGGAAATTGCTGGCTTCAGCATCAAAAACTGCATTGTATGTTTGTTTTTTCGTTCTTTTTTTTGGCATTGTTTCAGCTTCTTTATATGAAGTACAAATTCTACACTCCAGCTTGGCCTTAAAGTGATCGAACACCTAGCTTGCACGGCCATGGCGCCCATGGCGCAAGATGTCGCCGAGTACCTGAGCATCTTCTTGGCTCTCGTCGTGGCCCCTCTCCTGCTGCTCAGGGTGGCGAGGCGGGCGCGCGGCAATGGCGCCGGCCGGCCGAGGCTTCCGCCGGGGCCGTGGCGGCTGCCGGTCATCGGGAGCCTGCACCACCTGATGGGCAAGCCCCACGTGCACCGCGCCATGGCCGACCTCGCGCGCCGGCACGGCGCGCCGCTCATGTACCTCAGGCTCGGCGAGGTCCCTTTCGTGGTGGCCTCGTCGCCCGACGCCGCGCGCGAGGTCCTCAGGGCGCAGGACGCCAACTTCGCGTCGCGGCCGTGGAGCCCCACCCTGCGCGTCATGATGGCCGACGGCGAGGGCCTCGCGTTCGCGCGCCACGGCGCGCACTGGCGCCTGCGCAAGATCTGCGTCCTCGAGCTGCTCGGCCCGCGGCGCGTGCGGTCGTTCCGCCGCGTCAGGGAGGAGGAGGTGGCGCGCCTCCTCGCCGCCGTCGCCGCCGCGGCCGCGGCCGGGGCCGACGCCGTCGTGAACGTGAGCGAGCGCGCCGCCGTGCTGGTCACGGACACGACGTGCGCGCCATGATCGGCGACAGGTTCGAGATGCGGGACGAGTACCTGGAGGGCGTGGCCGAGGTGGGGAAGCTCCTGCTCGGGCTCAGCCTCGGCGACCTGTTCCCGTCGTCGAGGCTGGCCAGCCTCGTCAGCGGCACGGCGCGCCGCGCCGCAGCGAGCCACCGGAAGATGTTCGAGCTCATGGACTGCGCCATCAGGCATCACCAGGAGAGGAAGGCCGCCATGGACGCCGACGAGGACATCTTGGACGTGCTGCTTCGGATACAGAAGGAAGGAGGTCACGATGCCCCGCTCACCATGGGAGATGTCAAGGACACCATACTTGTAAGCACCATGGTTTCTCTCTTCACTCTACTTATTAATTAATTGTCTTTCATTTCATCATTGTGATACTTCATTGTTACTGCTACATATATGTAATGTTGATTAATTTATCTGACATCTCTTATTAGGATCTTTTTGCTGCTGGGACGGAGACATCAACAGCAACACTCCAATGGGCTATGTCCGAGGTGGTGAGGAACCCAAGAATAATGCAAAAGGCACAAGCCGAGCTACGTAACAAGCTTCAAGGGAAGCCAAGTGTGACCGAAGATGACCTAGTTGGCCTAACCTACTTAAAGCTCGTCATCAAGGAAACCCTAAGACTGCACCCCGCCGCACCAATGCTTGTCCCAAGGGAGTGTGGGGAGTCGTGCAAGGTGCTAGGGTACGACGTGCCCAGGGGCACTAACGTGCTCATCAACGCGTGGGCGATTGGCAGAGACCCCAATTACTGGGATGACACGGAGACGTTCAAACCAGATAGGTGTGAGAATAACAAGTATAACTTTAGAGGCACCGATTTCGAGTACATACCGTTTGGATCTAGACGAAAGATCTGCCCTGGTCCGGCGTTCACACATGCCATCTTGGAGCTCGCGCTCGCCGCTTTGCTGTACCACTTTGACTGGGAGCTCCCCTGCGGAGTTGCTCCAGGGGAGGTGGATATGGCCGAGGAGACAGGCGTCGTCGTTCGCCCGAAGAACGACCTCTACCTGCGTCCGGTCGTCCGTGTGCCGCCGGGAGCTGCCTCGAGCGGCAATGGTGGCACCTAGCCGTGCACCGCATCTACTACCTAGCCTTAATTATGTGAAAATGTAACCTGGTTGGATCGAATGGATTAAGTGCTAAATAAAATGGTTTATGTGTTCATGTTTGTTTGTGTTCGTCACATGTCACATGCATAAGAGAGAGAATCAGACTATCAGAGAAGGCGAGGTCCAGAAGCAGGATCAATGTTATGCACCTTGCAATGTCGATAGCAATTGGCATTAGTCCTAAACTGCTCAGTCATCGTGCAGGATATTGGTGCAGGTATCCCATAGAGTCATACTCTGGTTCTGTAATCACCAGGCATTCAGAAATCAAAACCGTGAAAACTAAAGACAGGCATATTCATGCTCCACATAATTCTCCAAGAAGAAATTTGGATAAAAATATTGATATAAATTTTTAAAAGTACGGAACAATGGAAACTTTCATCTGATAAGCATTCTTTTATCGGAATAAATATATCAGTGGATACGTACGATACAATGAACAGATCCTCTCATGCTTTGTATAAATTGTATTACATGCTACTACAATACAGTGAACAGGTCCTTTCATACTTTGAATTACATGCTACAATACATCTCACCATACTTTACATACAATCAATGGTCTGAGAGAAGGGTCAAGCACTCAAGCTTCCTGGTGCACACATTAATCTACACCTCAATTGATGCTTCACCGTTGCTTGCCTTTCTCCATTTTGAGGATCGTTGCTTGTTTATGATTTGGACGTAAGGGTGAATAGTCTAAGTGTCTAACCACACCATGAGCAATAGGTCAACCCCTTGCATCATATGATATCTTGGTATGATTGAGTATAAGACTATGAGAGGGAATATTGCCCTCAAGATCTGTTAAAAGACATCAGGAGGGAAACGCCCAGGCATAGAATTGTTCTGCTGAGCTTGCTTCAGATGCACTCTAAGTGCATAATTATTTATCTGCAATGTTAAATATACTTATGTAAGAACAATCAAAATCACCGGGAGTAGTGTTCGGGACAAAAGAATCACCAGGAGTAAGGAGTAGTACCTCAAGAGTTTTTATCTGTTCCTGATACTGCAAAACCAGTTGTTTCAGGCTATGAACCTCCTGAGTCCTCTCGTCAAACTCTTTTTGACGTTCATGTTGGATAGCAACCGCCCTCTTCAGAACAGCGTTCTCTCTCAGATATATTGCCAGTTGCTCCTTCAGCATCACATTTTCCTGCAGGAAAGCAAAGCATAACTGCTTAATTTGCCTAGGAGTACAAGTACTATGGATGAAACGTGCATATGCTGTTGGTTGCACCTTGTGCAAATTATGCACTGCTTCAGTTCCTGCTCGCTCCATTATGGATTTCTCCAATGCCTCCAGGGCTCTTGAGGCACGAGCCCGCGCATCATCTATGTCTGATGCACTCATCATCTCTCTAACAAATAGCTCAACCCACTCAGAACCATGATGATTTGTCTGAAAGTTTTCTGTAGCATGTGGGTTTTCAGTGAGCACATCCAAATGTCCATTATTAACAACACCTGTCCAAGATTGCAAGCTGACATTTAGCAGGCATTTTTTGGAGAAATTTAATTCATGAAAGAGGCATAGTTCATGAAGACATGGCAAACATAAGTTGGCAATCAAGCTTGGACATATCCTAGAAGGAACCAAATATAGTACATGTGTCATGTCATAGGCCAATTGAAAATGGAACCACCCAGCTTGATAACTTGCTATAGGAGCATGAAGTAGAAGCATGCACAGTAACTTCAAATAAATACTGAGGCTAGAGAACCGCATATCACAATGGAAGTTCATCCTTGACACTACTCAGTACTCACAATTGTGGATTGTCCATTAATGAACACACCACAATCAACTAAAACATATCATATTTAAACGGGATATAAGAACATGGCACTTCAGTTTATCACCCACTCTGGTGTTACACGCTAATGGCAGGTTGCCCATAAAAATGCTACAGTACATTACAATAAAGGCATAGCAGAGAGGTGGGGAATATGCCAAACAGAGAGTTCAAATTCACAGCTTCAGGTATCCAACATGTCTATGAACAGCTTCAGGTATCCAACATGTCTATGAACAATCAAATTGGACCAGCGCAACACAGGAAAGTATGAACAATGAATGTCTGGATGTTTAGCATGCAACTGTCTAAATTCAACAGACGTACCTTCAGCCGATAACTTAAGAGCGGCTGGCAGGACGCTATTGGAATCACCTACCGCAGCCGATTCCAGGCACAGCTCGTTCAAACTCTTTATAGCAGAATCTATATCATCTCCAGATGCCTCAAGAGCTCTTTCAAGTAACTGTAATCATGCGGAAACTCATCATCAAACAGCTAAAAATATAAACACCACATAGCTGTGATGGAAACACCCTTTAGTTGCAAAAAATGTACATGACGAATGCGATCCAATCCAGTTTCTTACAGTATATGCATGCTCAATTGAAGATAGCAAAAGGTGCTGACAAAAAAAAACACATTTGCCGTATTTGTTGATTACACATTCACACTTACATTCCTGAATACTGTAAAATTAGTGAAAACATGGCCAGCCATCAGATCATCGGAGATCGGACGGACATGATATATTAGTAGCACTTCGATTCCTAAAGGTTGGTTGCAAAAATGGATAGGCCATTGCTATCTAACTATTGTTCAACATTTCTGCAGCATCATAGTTGGTAGTAGCTATTAGCTATTGCATCCTTAGCTCCAGGCACCAGAGAATTTAACCCAACAAGCCACATAATTTACTGGACGGAGATTCACCTCTTCGCATCCAATTGCAAACTCCCACAAAAAAAAATCGAAATAATAGCGATATAAGTAGAGCTCGGAGGCGAACCTGGGGATCCATGTGGGGGAAGAGGGAGAGGAGATGGTGCAGGAGCGCCTCCCGGCGGTGAGTCGCCTCGTCGAAGGCGCGGGCCGGGGAGCAGCGGGAGCGCTTGGCGGGGTGGTGGTGGTGGTGGGGAGGGGATGGGGAGGGAGGGGAGGAAGGGATGAGCTCGTCGCCGAAGATGGAGGAGGACCTCTTCCCACACACTACGGCAGACATGGTGGCCCCCGCCCCCGCCGCCCCGCCGCGCCGCAGATCCGTCCGCCGCTCGTCGTCCTCGCCGCCGCCGTCGCGCTACTCGCCCCCGCCGCCGACCATCTGGTGGTAGCCGCCGCTCCGGCCGGCAACCCCCTACTCCGGCGATCCACGGCGAGGTGGGCCTGGGCCTGGGTGGGCCGAGGTGGCGTGCGCGAGTTCGCCGGCTAGTCGCCGAGGAGGAGGTCGCGTCGCATGGGAAGGGAAATTTGCTGGTTTTTTTTTCTTTTTCTTTTTTTTTTTTGGGGGGGGGGGGGGGGGGGGGGGTTGGTTGGTCGGTCAGCTGCGCAGATGAGTTTATTGCGTTTTGGAGCGGCTGCTAAGCTTGTGCGTACTGACCTTTATACCCTTCTCTTTGGCCAGGTGTTCTACTACTCGCTTTTGGATGTTGGAATGTCAGGTCACTACGCTTTACTTCCTTGTTCCAAAAATAAATTTATTTTTTATCCATTTCACGTATATTTAATATAACAAGAAAAAAAAATATTCTTACTTTATTGAATCACAATATAATTATTCTTTTTTATATGCTTTCAATACAAACTGATTACTTAAAATGAACTTATTTTTAAGAGAAATGAGAGGTTAAAAATAAACTTATTATGTAATGGAGGGAGTCACTTTTTTCTAATCTTCTGCATTTTGGTTTAGCCGCCATTTAGAAAAATTGGCTCTCATGTTGAGGCCTTTAAAAAATTGAAAATTTTGAATGAAGTAAGAAAATGATTTACAATAGGAAAATATTTTATGTTTGTATAATTTGTGATATAAAAGTTAACACTGTAAGTTAGACTACGATAAAAGAAACTCCAAAATCAACTCTAAATTAAGTTTTAAAATTCAAATAGCTAATAAGCCAATAAACCGACTATGGGTGCCGGAATATTTCTCCATTGCTGTATACGAAATTCTGATAAAAAAAAACTTTTACAAATTCTCGTGTCTCATTCCTGAAGAGTTGTTGCATTTCAGAGTCCCGTAGATTTTAGTTAAGAAAAACAAATATTTTTGGACTCTTGTATTAAAAAAGATCAACCATAGTATGGTTTGGTGGCAATGTTTTATTTTTTTTCTACTCATCTCCAATAATCTGTTCGGTACAATTGTATTTCTACTTCCAACTGTCAAGTATAATCTATATAAAATATTATCCCCTAAAAAAAGTATACTATTATTTGCACAGGGGGGGAGTTAGCTTCAGATATATACTACTCTACTATGAATTTTCCGATCTTCACGAACTTATTCTTGATACGGATACCTGCCTATTTCAGCGCGTCAAAACGGGGGAATAAAGTCGACTTGTCCAGCTTCAATTGCGTGGAGCGTGGCTGCAAACGATCCTCTGGATTTTTGTCCGACGTTATCCATTCCCGTTTTAGCAGGCAACGGGTGGCTTTTCACTCGATTCCCGACCTCGACACCTTATCACCTGACGTGTGGGCCATGCACGCACGCCGGTGTGCTCTCCTGCTTTGCACCGGCCGGCGAGCTGCCAACTCCGGCGAGTTTTCTGCTCGCTCGAGCCCGTCTGAGCAAGCGATCGCCGGCCATGGCGGCGGCGGCGGCGGCCTCAACAGCTGCAAAAGATCAACATGAAGATGGCAGAGCATCCAAACAAAGTGATTAAATCAGTACAGTACATGATTGAAGGGAAATGTATAAAGATATAAGACCATAATGAACATTGGATTACATTGAACACAACAAAATCGTATTGAGCACACACTCTCGAGAGGTCTGTCTCCCTCCATCCATGTAATTAAGTTGGCCTTCTTGCATTTTAGAGCTCTCTCGCTCTGAACCATTCTATTCTTTATGTATGGTTTTTTTTCCCGTAATCATGGATGTTTAAACCATCTTTGTGTCTGGTTTTTGATGTATCCACATGGTTCACTTCAAAAAAGAACTTAGCACAAACAAAAGGAGGGAGAGTTATTCACAGCTCAGGAATGGAACACACACACAAACTCTGCATCCTACAAAACAAAATCGGCATTTCCATCAAGTATGGAAATAGTGGTTCTTGGTTTGGTTCTTTACTTTCCCTTTTCGTTTTCTTTGTGTGGTATGCAAGCTAGAAGGTGTTATTGTGTCAGCACACCAATCTGCTGCAGAGCTGACTTCATGTCATCTGTACTGTAACCCTCAATGCCAATGATATTTGAGCTGTCCAGGGCGACGACATCTTGTAACGGATATCTCCTGACAGTATGGATTCTGTTCGCGGGGATGTTGAACTCGCCCTTCAGGATGACGGTCCTGTGGAGACCACCTAGCAGTTCTTCATAATCCGAATCGCCACTTTCACCAACAAGGACTGCAACATTTGGCAGCTCTATTCCCCAGCGTATACACAAGTACCTAAATGAACATTAGGTTTGGTCAGCACAACGGGTAACAAGATAAAACTTCATTTCTGAGCAAGTGCAAATGGTTAGGTGCACAGCACAATGACACACAAGAATTACAGCAAGCATCCTTCTACTGTGTTGTAAACAATGATAATTTGTTCACATCATCGTTCATTTTAGCGAATATTAAAGCTGGCATGAGTTTGAAAAGGAATCATATTGCACATTTTGTTATTATCTCTGTTTGAAGCAAAATAGTATGGAACTACAGACAGTTTTTTACTTAAAACTTCAAAATTCACTGTTTATTGAAGTTAGGCAACACAAAATGGAAAAATACTTCTATGGTGAGTTGGTATAAATGAAGGAAAGAAAAATGCAAAAGAAGATGCCAAACCTTAGTGCCTGGGAACGTGATGCGTGAATGGGAACTACAGAGAGTCTGGTGGCACTGTGGTTATACAAGGCATTGCAACGGAGTGATTGGATTCTCATCAATTTCCTCAACTCCTTTAAAGGGGGTAGCTACAATGAAAAAAACCACATTAAACATTCAAAAGGGAACGTCTAAAAAAACATTAAACATTAATAGCACACATCACACACGATAAATCTGTGTGTCAGTGTGTGGTTGGAAGGCTCACATGATTTGGATTGACCACTCTAAATGCAAGACAATAGGTTGAAGAGTGTTCAGGGTCTTCAAAAATAATTTGTCTTTCGATTCTTCCCTTTCTTTCTACCACTGAAGTAGCCCATTTCACTAGATACTTTCTTAGGCCTTCTCCTCCCCATCGATACTCAATATGTGCTTGGTGATTTTGATCTATTGCAGGAGTAACCTGGGAACTGCTTGGCGTATCTCCCGAATACAAAGGATAATAGATATTACTTCCACTATTGCAGATGAAAGCATCAAAAACAGTAGGCAACATGCCTGCAGACACTAGCAGCGAGCGTATCTCTGATATTGTAAGTGAAGTTGACAGCACAAAACCAGTTGAACCAGACATTTTTTCTGTGCGTGTGACTTCAATAGTGTTTCTGATTATCCGGACTAGATCTTCCTTGTTAACAGAGTCTACAGATATAACAATGATATGCTTCCTTCCTGATATGGGTGCCTTCTGTTCCTGTTTGCCACCAATAGCAGGTGATCTCGGACCAAGTGTCAATATCCTTGACAAGTAATTCTTGCAATGTTCAGGCCATGAGAACTGGTGAATATTTTTTAGCCCATTCTCTCTACATCTCGACCAAAGTTGTTTGTCAGAAAGAAGCTTATACAGTGCATCTGCAATGGCATTCTGATCATGTGGATCAACAAGGAGACCATTGTTCAGCACCTGCATGAAACATCCACAAGAAAGTAAAGTGATTTACCCCTTCAGTGCGTTGTTGTATTTTTGACATATAACATGGTAGAACATATACACACCTGATTAATTTCTACAGGAGCTCCATTTTTTGTTGCAATAATAGGCAAACCATTCATAGCAGCCTGCATATAGATATAATAAACTGGTTATGATTTGGAGTTTAGGACACTGAAAAAGTTGAACAGCTGGAAAAGGCAAGTTGAGCTCTCAAAGTTCTGACCTCTATTAGGGTAACACCAAATTGTTCAAAATAAGCCACATTCACAAAAGCACCCTGCAGAAGATCAACAGATGATCAACACCAAAGTAAGTGGGAAAGGAACATAAGGTACTGATGCCTTCTGCCTATTATACCATAAGAAAAAAAAAGATACTTCAGTTTTAAAAATCAAGAAAACAATCTTTGTTTCAGCAAAAACATTGCTTAAAAAAATTGCAACATGGGGTTCTTCTGCAAAGCGACGTAGGAGAAAAAAAGAAGAAACAAGAGCCCACCCCATTTCACAATATCTGTCCATTCAAAGTTGCGCCACAGACCAAGGAGGGACTAAATCTATTTAAAAAAAGCTAATGTAAAATGACCATATGTACCCCCTTTTAAATGCTATCTACAGCCAATTATCCACTTTTTTACTGAATCAAATAGAGCTGGAGTGTGGAAATCTTGCAATCTCAATTTCTTCAATGGGCAAGGCACACATTGTGGTAAAAGGTGGAATGGAGGGAGTACATTGAATGGTAGATTTCAACCAAGAACACTTACAGAACATAAAAGCAGCATAAAAAAACTAAAACATAGAAAAGTTTCTTTGCTTTATTTCAGGAATAGCATACCTTTGTCCTGGCAGCTAAACGATAAATGTCTGGAACTTCAGAGTGCTTATGATGCTTGGGATAAGCCACTTGACCATACAAGTCATATTCATCAATCAATGTAAGCACTGAGGTCAAGACAGCAGCACTCATGTTGTTCATCTTAGAAATGGCCTCACGGTTACCCATTATCAGTGTCTGCAATGCATAATAAAATTAGCACCTAATAGTCTAGGAAATATATATCATTTTGTACACTATACAATATGATTATGACATTACAGAGAACCAAACCACAGAACATCGAGATGGTTTAAGTCCAATCTTACCAGATTTGCTAGCTCCCTTAGAGGGCGACATTCACCAAATGCCTTTACAAGTGATGTAATATTCTTTTCAGGATATGGACGAGCAACAGCCAGAATCATAGGCTTCCTAGGATTTGTAAAGAAGCGCATTATCTGTCATCAGTTGCACATGTACAGATTATCAGTGATCAAACTCAGGTACAGGTTTAACAGGCAGAACAAACTATCCTCAATAAGACAAGAAATACTGAATAAAGGTTATACTAGTAACTGAGATCTCTGTAGGATTCTAAAGGAAGTGCAGTGACCTGAGACCAAATGGGTGGGTCCTCAGAGGCTGGACATGGATTTTCTTCTTCACCATCCATTTCAAAATCGTGAATGATATGACCAAATTCAACACCAGGAGGTATTATCTGAAAAATCAGGAATAGGAAAGCAATAAACATTAGGGGTTATTGACGATGCTTGCAACTACAGCTAGGCAGCTGGTGCTAATGCCAAAAGCCCTAAGGTGTAACATATACTTTCCCAATAATTTAGAAATTGTTGTGCAAGGGGAGGAAAATGTGTATACTCACAACCATACGAGGCATATAACGGCCATAGCAGTTAGCACCACGCTTAACTCTTGCCCGAAGCTTCCTTGCAAGTATAACCTCAAAACCATCATACAAGTTCCACTGCTCTTCTATCTCCTGTCTAGTGCTAGCAATAACAATTTCAGATGCATCAAGAGATAATTCCTCTGCCTCAATTCGGCACATTATTTTGTATGTCATATTTATTTGTTCCCTTGAATGTCGCCCTTGCTTGAGAAGCCCTTCCAATTTGTCCTTACCAAGAAAATGGCCTGTAAATGCCATAGGAATATTAAGAGACCCAGACAACAGAGCAGCAGCTATTCCTGCACTGGCATAGTGTCCATGAATCACAGCAGGCCATACTGGATGCCCACAGCCAATTTCTTCACCAATGGTTTTTGACATCCGCACGATATGGCCAAGTGCACCATCAACAAATTCTTGAATGAAAGGCCATAGATGTTCTTTAGCTAGGTATTTGTCTTTTGGTCCAAATGGTATCCGAATGATGTATGCACCACTGTTCTCACCCTTTTCCTGTTTAGAATTTTTAAAGCTTGTTGAAACCAACATTTCTGTAGGTTCACCATAACTACGATCGAAATTTGGTGCCAAGATTTGTCTTGTCAGCAAATCAACCCTGTAAACTCCAGGAGATGAACTCAACGCTTTAGCAAGTTCAACCACATATTTGACCTACAAAATGGTATGTGAATATATATTTAAGAACTTGTTGGAACTTCTGCTATGAGAAAAATCTCAGTAGATAAACTAGAAATGGAAATAGAGAAAAGGTCTGTAAATCTGTCATACACTAACAGATAATGCAAAAGGCCTTAGTTTTCTCAGGAAAAAGTGTAAAAGTACTAGAAATTACCACCAAAAAGGAAAAGAACATCTACCCCTACCCCCACCCTGACCCCCCACAAAAAAAAATGTCCAGTGGGCCATAACAACCATTGGATATTAGAACCTAACTCAAAATTTAAGACTGCATCCTAAACATAAAAGGATTCAAATTAAAATACACTCAAGTAAATTTTGAGTTGAAAATATTAGAATGTCAGTATACATAATAGTATTTGTAGTCCCAGTATGATATAGTCATAAATAAATTTGTGTTGCCAGAGATTGGGATCCCATGTGCACAATCATGATATAGTAGCAGCATTACCTGGCCACCAGTATCTGAATCTCGTCCTAGCTCCATGTTCTCACCACGGACCAGACCATGTAGGCTGCAGTACGAAGCATGAACTGATTAATGAACATTACAAATTGGCTTCAAGGATAGAGTAACAGACACCGTTTCCACGTGAGCATGGATTATAAAATCAACATGGAAAATTTTGGTCGGCTGCCCATTATGAAGCTGTTCAAAAGATGTATGATTGTTTGTTAAACATGTGATACATTTATATCTTGTCAATTCTAAGTTGTGGCTCTTGTTCTTTCAACAGTAGCAACAGACTGCCCAAAAGCTAAGGAAATAGACACATAAATATATAATATAATATAAACTCTGCAACAGAATCAGATGCAGAAACAAAATGCATGCTAAAATAGCAGCGTCGATCCACTCTTTCCTAAAAAGGCATGCAAAGTGCGCAAAATGATAATGAGGTCATCCTACTAGAGCCAGTATTCATTGTATACCACTTCAAGCTTGTGAATACCTAAATAGACAGAGGAATGCAAAATGCACGAGCATTACACTTGGACTAGAAGGAATCAAGGAAATCTACAGAATCAGGGCATCAAAGCTAGATAATGCTTTGGACTTCGTTTCTTTTCATGTGCCTAGAAGCCCAGAACAGGAGAGAGTTCTTCAGTGTCATGGACATGGCCAAATAAATGTCATGATAAACAAGAATACTGCCATCTCGTTATTTGAAATTACTGCTTCATTTGTCGGATTTTCTTTGAATTATTCTTATAGTACAGAATGATGAGGAACTCGGCTGCAGTTTACTCAGGAAGTATGGAGAAGTTCCTAATAAAAAAGAAAGAAAAATCGACACAGATAGCAGCTACTACTATTACCTTAAGAAATTTGACTAAAGTAGTTTGATTAAATTGAATTTTTCGTCCTGATGTTATGCTGAATGATTCACAAATGGTAAAAAAAAAGGGTTACTTAAAATAATACTTTGTACCTTATCAGTACTATGTATAGCTTGTCAATTGAACTCGTCTTAGGTGAGCTCCCTGTGGTGCTGTCACCATACGCAACTGAGGGATCACCAGCATCTTCTCCCTTTTCTCCTTCAAATAGATCTTCAGACATATCTGCATTAGTATCAGTTCGTAATTTCTCAGCTTCTGGTTGGCGTTTCAACAGACGACAGGCTTCTTCTTTCTCGAACTGCATGTAAGAACATCTGAACATGTATATGACAAGCGAAGGACAAAATACAATGGTACAGAATAGGTACAACTCCAACATCAGTCTTTCAGGCAAGAATATTTGTACATGTTGGTATAGCCAATTATATTACAACACGAAAGGTAGGTAGATGCTGAAAAGAATAAAAATGAAACATTCATTGAACTGGGAAACCAAGGGTTGACTAAGACTTCCATGCAAAAGTACTTCCAAAACAGATGGACTAGCCAAAACAGGATACGTTGCGTCATGAGGACAAAGTAATAGCCAGGCAGAGCTAAGAGCTTAAGAAATAGACAAAATGGATGATGGAACAGGATGCGTTATATTGTGCCAGGCATGTACCATCAGGTCGAGTTGCTATTCATATATTACATTTGTTTGCAGCCTTTGCTTTCATATGTATGAATTACCAAGTGATACAATTCAGGCACTCACATTGTACTTAGCAATATGACAAAATTTAAAGCTTCTAAGATTGTAGCACGAGGCACGATGACATAAACAGTAGCAAGAGATACTCTCTATCGTAATACCTCAAACAAAAGATGCAGCAAAACAAATGACTTCATTCACATTCTACCTAGAACGTTAGGGGTCAAAATGGAACAAACACATAAAGGCTTATCAATTGTAGTGTAATGACATAGCGGTCACAAGAGTATTCTAAACAACTGAAGCAATAGAAGCAACAAAGCAATCCAGCATTCTCTGCGTGCTGCCCGCATTTGTTCAGTAACTCGGCTCAATGTCTTCTAAAAGTCTTATCATAGATGACGAAACAACTCTCTGTAATAAAGCAATGCCAAGCAGGCAAAGCATCCTTCCTAAATAAACCAAGAGCTTTGTTAATTATCCCCTCTGAACAGATCCAGCACCATCTAAGCAAGTAACTATCACATACGCCACACTTTATCAATTCATCCATTAGAATCAAAATTACACCGAGTCACTGGCTGAGCTCTCTGCAACCTACGCACACTATCATCATCATCATCATCATCATCATCATCGAAGGGAACGGAGCGAAGAGCTCACCTCCTTCTTCTTCCTCGCGAGGTTCCAGATCCTCCACGTCATGTTCTCCAGCCGCGTGTTCCTCTCCTGCGGGCTCCGCATCGCGTTCGCCTGCGCCGCACACGCACACGCACACAGATCGATCCACCGATCGATCGATCAATCAAACAAACCCAACGGGGAGGAGAGCGCGGAAGCGGAATTAGAGGTGGGGGGAGGGAGGGAGGGAGGGAGGGGGGAGCCACGCACGCGGAGCCATGTCTTGTAGAGGTCGGTCTCGTCGTACCCGGTGATGACCTCCTCGACGAAGTAGCGCGCCGGGGAGAAGTGGCCGCGCTCCCGGAGGAGGAGCGAGGGGCGGTCGCCGCCGATTGCCGCCTTGCCGGCGTCGAGGATGGCGTCGAGGTAACTGTTTATCCAGTTGTCGTTGCCCGCCATGCCGCCGCCGCCGCCGTGGAGATCCCGGCGAGATCGTGGAGGGGGAGAGGAGTGAGCGGAGGAGTGGAGGCGAAGCCAAGGGAAGGGAAGGAAGAGGAGGAAAAGGAGAGGAGAAGGAGCAAGTGCGGAGAAATGGCGAAGCATAATAATTAAAAAATGCGTCCGATTTGGGGTTTTTTTTATTATTAAGGAGAAAGAAAAGGTGGCCTCGTAATGGAATGAGTAATAATAAATTAGTGCCTGTGTAAATCCATTGTCAAAATTTTTTACCATATCACATCAAATATTTTGACACATGCATAGAGTATTAAATATAGGTTTAAAAAACTAATTACACAGATTGCGTGTAAAATGCGGGACGAATCTTTTAGACCTAATTGCTTCGTGATATGGCAATGTGGTGCTACATTAAACATTTGCTAACGACGGATTAATTAGGCTTAATAAATTCGTCTCGTAGTTTATAGGCGGAATCTGTAATTTGTTTTGTTATTAGTCTGTGTTTAATACTTTAAATATGTGTCCATATATTTGATGTGACACGCCAGAACTTTTTACCCCTAGATCTAAACACAGCCTTAGTGGACTGATGATGAAATAAATAGTTGTTTAATTCTATATATAAAAAATATTCAAACAAATCTTGCTTTTTTAAAAAAAAACTTTGTTTTTCAGGGTGGATTTGTCCATCTTTTCCAAAGGGCAATCAAATTCCATTCAGATTTTGGACAGGCTACCATCAAAGTTAGGTGAGCCCTTCGAAAAAAAATACTAAATTAGTAAGCAGTACTGACGCCATTTCTAAATTTAAGTGCAATTTCGAGGGAATATCATGGTTTGTGAAATAAAAAAAGATAATAAGAGGGAGCACGTTTGGTCCAATTCTTCTTTGAGACCATCATGTGTAGCTTAACAATTTGGCCCAACTCTAAAATAGACATGCCAAGTTTGAGGTCGTTTTGGGCCTTAACGTTTTCACTCTTTTGCATTCGGTATTTTTACCACGGTTTGGTTATTGAAGGATGTAGTAATAAATTACATTGTCCGAATAGTCAAGTCAAATCAACGTATGATTGACAGAACGAGAACCGTGTCAATGGAATTCAATACTACCTCCGTCCAAAAATAAATGCAGCCATAGATATCTGTGCCCAACGTTTGACCATCCATCTTATTTAAAAAATTTGTGAAAAAATTGAAAATATTTAGTCACACATAAAGTATTATTCATGTTTTATCATCTAATAGCAATAAAAATACTAATTATAAAAAAAATTCAAATAAGACGAACGGTCAAACGTTGAACGTGAATAGTGTAAAACTACACTTATTTTGGGACGGGGGAATAGTTTTTTTTGGGTGTGTGTTTTAAGGGCAAGAATGACGATGTGGTGTCACCATTTGGAAAAAGATGTCACGTAGAGCTTTTATGACGACGAAGAAAGAGAAAGATGCCACCTAGAGTATTAATTACCCCCTCCCTCCATCCTGTAATATAAGAGCGAGTATAATAGTAGACTATAAACCGGCTAAATACTGAGGTGGAGGAGAAATAGAGGAGAAGCGGGTTGTCAACTTACAGCCGGCTTGGACACAAAAACAAAGAAACTCTGTGAGAGAGACAAGTGGGCCATATATTAATTGTAAAGAGCTATTCCCTCCGTCCAAAAAAAAGACAAACCCTAGTTTCCGTGCCCAACGTTTGACCGTCCGTCTTATTTGAAAAAATTATGAAAAAAATTAAAAAGACAAGTCACGCATAAAATATTAATCATGTTTTATCATCTAAGAACAATAAAAATACGAATTATAAAAAAATTTCATATAAGACGGACAGTCAAAGTTGGACACGGAAACCCAGGGTTTGCCTTTTTTTTGGACCTTAGGGCAGTCCCAAACCTCCAACTAGGATGGTGTCTATAGCATTAACTATATTGCCATGTAGGACTTTTAACTTATGTGGCACTATATTAATTAAGAGAGAGAGTGAAGAGAGGAAGAAACTGGGTCTCATGCAAGACACAGCTTCAACACGAGAACCTATGCGCCAGGCTCTTCAATAGATTGAACCGCAAGAATACCCACGATTTTTCGGATCGGGAAATGGGTCGAACCGCGCGAAATGGTCGCCTCGGAATACAGGGCGCAACGAAACCAAGGTTCTTTGTTGGCGTGTTGCGAAAGCCATATGAACCGCTATTTAGTCCTTGAATAAAGAAAGGTAGTAATTTCATCTAGTTGCATTCCATCGAACTAAGGTGGGATTGAAGAAAGGGGTCTTCAACTTATCTTGAGCCATCAGTCAGATTAAAAGCAGCGCCCTGCCGCCAGCTCCTGACCTCTGTTCCTATGGGAAAAAGCATTTTGGAGATTTGCTCAGTTGATACCGAATTTGAAGATAAGCCCTTCCCCCGAACAGGCTTTTTATTTGGTGGGTAACATCGATGAAGCTAGCACGAAAGCGACACTATTAAGTTTTGCATTGGGAGATAATAGTGTCTTCATAATAGATAAAGAATAAATATTATTGGTAGAGAAGAGAGATGTTGTATTTATTAATGGTCCACTTTAAGAAACCATGGGTTGTGGAGTATAGTTTCTATTGTGATGTCTTATTAACATAGCACCATAGACACTACTTATGGACACTATGGGTTGGGACTGCCCTTATAGCTAACAAGCTGAGAGAAGGCTACAAATAACCTTATAGCCAACAGGTCGGTTGTATTATTAGCCTTGTTCTAAGGGATAATGGATGGATGTGATACATTCTAGTACAATGAATTTGAACAGATAAGATACATTTATCCATTATCTCTTATATTATGGGACAGAGGGAGTAACATATAGCTTAATATCATATTATCACATATAGTCAAAATCATTATTTCGTGGCACCTAAATTTACGCTTTCTGCTAGAGGACACCATAAGAATGTGTTTATACTATAGGACACTATAAAAATATGTTAATTAACTGTTGAACACTTACGATATTATTTTATTATATGCAGAAGAAATTGAGCGAGAAACAACGACGAAAATACGAATCTCCACTTGTGGTCGGGCAACCGGCTTGCCTAGCCTTCGTGGTGCTGTGGCGAAGCAGGAGGTGTGTCTCCGCCATGGCACCATCTCTCAAGCCCGTGTCCATGGCAGCGGCTCGCGGCATGCTCGACAAAGGAGCCCTGCTGGCCCTAACCCCCGCGACGTCGCCTCCAACTTCGAGATAACCAAACCTCACCGTCGATCTGTTGATATAAAAACACGAGATATGAGAGATCTGCTTAACTCCAGTGTATGTCCAAAAGCTTGTCTTTAGTGTAGGTGTAAAAACTTGTCTTTAGCTAAAACTTCTTACCATATTGTTATTATGTTATACTCTATGCATACATAAAAAGTTGACGTGGAGTTATTTCGTTGGATCAGCCATTCAGTGTCAAATTAGATCTCATAAACTTTCTTTATTGCGATTGGATCCCATAAACTTTGTTTTATTAACAGTAATTTTCATAAAACCAAGTTATATACAAAACCACAACGATTTTATCGTGGGACACATAACTTCAGATATTATAATCCCGTTTGAATCCGATGAATATGAAGATTAAGTACAGCCACGCAAAATAAATCATTAACACATAATTAATTGAGTTTAAATTAATTCAAACCTAAAAAGGGCTTTATCTCATATTTTAAAATTTTTAATAAATCTATATGATTTTATACAACTTAGCGTAGATAAAATTTACACTTCTATTAATTGATCATCCCCTGAAACCAACAGGTGGCAATATTCTCACGTGTCCCATGGTATCATTTTTTCTGAACGAAACTGTTCCTATCATTATCCTTATTTCACGTACTGTTCTCAAATGCGCAACTACAAAAGTATCCCACTTAAAAGGCAAACAGATGCGTCTAAAGGACACGTTTTAAGTCTTACCTGGATTATCCATTTATTCTTCTACCTAAAAGTTGATGATTTCTTCATGAGATTTAAGGCAAATATATGAATTATGTCCACTTCATTTTTTTATTGGCTCAATTCTGTCAATTTTCGATAAACAATGAACAAACATTTTGTGCGAATATAGCCAACGTGTCAGCCCATCAGTCCTTTTCATGCTGTGTAAAGTGATTCTTACACACGCGGCTGTGTTTAGTTCCTTCCAAAGTTAGAAGTTTGGGTTGAAATTGGTACGATGTGACTGAAAAGTTATGTGTGTATGACAAATTGATGTGATGGAAAAAGTTAAAAGTTTGAATCTAAAGTTTGGATCTAAACACAGCCGAAAAAGTAAAAGGGAATAAAGGCAACTAGAGATATATGCTTAGTTAAATATATCTTTTTGGTGCCTGGATTCCTTGTTTGGTACACGATGACTCATCATTATATTTAGCTTAACTAAATAACAATCAAAACCTAATAGGAGAATCTTGTTTGTCGATCGTAATGTTTATCTTGAAACTTGATTAAAAACATAACTTAGGTGTAATGTTAGAGTCTCCAGATCCTTTTTGTCCATGCCATGAGTCTAAAACAAATTGAAGTTTTCAAAGAAACATCACTTGGCCCTTTTAACTCCCTTTAATTTGCCATCATAACATTAATTAGTTTGTTAATTTTTTGTGCAATTGTAAGAGGATGTTTGGTTGCCAGCCATAGTTTACCACGTCTAAGGTTAGACAGATTTGATCATATTGGTAGTTGTTTGGTTGTAGTCACAATTGTGGCAAAATTCTTTTCCAATAAATTGAGTCCACATGTCATTAACTTAGGGAAGTGTGACATGATTCTCTTAGACTTGCTAAGGTGTGGTTAACAATTTGATCGCCTAACTTAAGCAAGTGTGATAGTATTTATTGACAAATGGTGGTAAAATATGGCTAAGAACCAAACACACCTTAAATTTCAATGAGTTTAAATATAGTTAAAGACGTTAAGTACAATTAATAGGGCAAGTTATAGTCAGAACAAACTCAAAAACGGTAATTTAAGAACATAGAAGCAAGGACTCCTGGTTGCTGAAAATGATCCTTGCTTTGTTACGTGAATACTCCATCAGTATATATATGACACTATCAACTTTATTTGGTTAAAATTTTTAAACTTTAATCATCATTTTATTTTGATTAACAATTTATTGTTTGGAATTG